AATTCGAAATGGACTTTCGGAAAGTGGATTTGACTCAAGGTCAACTACCTACAAATCTGCCATTGATGAACCTTCCAGCCCATTCTTCTTACACTATTCCGATAGTCCTGGACTGGTGCTAGTGACTCAGCAGCTCACAGGAGAGAACTATGGCTCCTGGATTCGAGCTATGACTATTGCATTATCAATCAAGAATAAACTTGCGTTTGTAGATGGATCTATGAAGAAGCCAGAGACTACTGATGCAGCTTTGGTTAACTAATGGATTAGGAACAATAATATGGAGATATCCTGGATTCTCAATTCCGTTTCGAAAGATATATCTGCAAGTGTGATTTATGCTTCCTCAGCGTTTGAGATCTGGAACGATCTCAAGGAACGATTCCAGCAGAACAACGGTCCTCGAATTTTTCAATTAAAGAGGGACCTGATGAATTTGATGCAAGATCGCAACACAATGAGTGTATTCTTCACTAAACTCAAAACTATTTGGGAGGAATTGAGTAATTTTCGGCCGAATTGCAGTTGTGGAAAGTGTGTTTGTGGTGGTGTTCAAGAATTAAATAAACACTACCAAATGGAATATATCATGGTGTTCCTTATGGGATTGCATGATTCTTTTTCACAAGTGAGAGGACAAATTCTCCTAATGGATCCTGTACCATCAATTAACAAGGTTTTCTTACTGATTTCACAAGAAGAAAACCAAAGAGAAATGCACACATCATCAATTAGTGTTGATTCAGATGGAGGAGCTGCATTTGCATTCAGATCTGACAGTGGGAGAGGCAATTTCAACTATAATTCTCAAGGTGGACCTGGTAACAGAAAATCAGATAGGCCATATTGTACACACTACAAGTATCATGGGCATTCTATCGATAAGTGCTACAGAATTCATGGTTTTCCACCTGGATTCAAGTCTAGGTCAAGGAATAATTTTCAACATTTTTCCAAAACTAACACTGTTAATCAAGTTTCTGTCACTCCACAGATGGATGAGAAGCATGTGGATCAGCAAACTGATGTTAGCAAATTTATGCAGATTCTGAACTTGAACCAATATCAACACTTGATGACAACGTTGTCCTCTCACCTGGCATCCACTTCACAGCCGGTTTCAGCTAATTTGGACAAGGCTGAATCCACATATACTGCAGGTATACATCACTCTACATCAGTTCATCCATTTTTTGATACTTTTTCTCCGGTGGCTAGGACTGTTACTGTCAAAGTGCTGCTTGCTCTTGCAGCATCTCAGAACTGGGATTTGGTTCAACTTGACGTTAACAATGCTTTCTTGAATGGTGACTTGTTTGAGGAGGTTTATATGACCTACCTCCTAGTTATGACCTTATTAAACCTCTCAAACAGGGGGAGACCTTGGTATGCGAATTACACAAATTATTGTATGGCCTTAAGCAGGCTTCGAGACAGTGGAACTCCAAGTTTTCCAGTGCTCTTATCCAACATGGGTTTACTCAATCTAAAGCCGACTATTCCTTATTTACCAAAGGTTCAGGGAGCACCTTCATCGCTTTACTAGTGTACGTTGATGACATAGTCATCACTGGACCCAACACACAGGTAATCAACAAGTTAAAGGATTTCTTGCACTCCCAGTTCAAGTTAAAGGACTTGGGATGTTTAAAGTACTTCTTGGGAATTGAGATTGCTCGAGCTTCCTCTGGGATAGTCATTTCATAGAGGAATTATGCTTTAAAATTGGTAGAAGATGCAGGCTACCTGGACTGCAAGCTTGTCAACAGTCCAATGGATTCCAGAATTAACCTCAGCTCAACTGAAGGAGATCTCTTACCTGATTGGAAGGTTGATATATCTAACACTCAATAGACCAGATATCACGTTTGCAGTGCATAAAATTAAGTCAATATATGTCTCAGCCAAGGATACCTCATCTCAGGGCTGTTCATCACCTGCTTTGCTACTTGAAAGGAAGTCCTGGCCAAGGACTTTACTTCTCCTCAGCACCTGTTAATTCCATCAAAATTCGAGCCTTTTCTGATGCTGACCGGGGATCTTGCATTGATACACGAAAGTCTACTACTGGGTTTTGCATCTTCGTTGGTGATTCACTGGTTGCTTGGAGATCTAAATCCAACCTACCATTTCTTGCTCATCTGCTAAGGCCGAATACAGGGCTCTTGCAGCCACAACTAGTGAGGTTATTTGGATCAAACAATTGTTGAAAGATTTGCAGGTGAATGACACTTCTCCAGCAATGATCTACTGTGATAACCTTGCTGCAATTCAGATTGCTAATAACCCAACCTTCCACGAGCGAATGAAGCATATAGAGATCGATTGCCACTTCATTTGAGACAAAATCACAGATGGGGCAGTTAAGTTGCTTCCAATCAGGTCACAATTTCAGCTTGCTGACACCTTCACCAAACCGTTACCTATATCAACTCTAGCTCCATTAATGTCCAAGATGTGTGTAAAGAACATTTTAAGCACATCTTGAGGGGGAGTATTACGTCCATTGCATATAGTTAGGATGGCCAGCTCAGCTGGGATGTTAGTTAGACAGCTGGCAAGTTAGTTTACCAGCTATCATCTTCCCGCTCTTTTTCTTTCTACTTTACCTTGATGTATATTTATTGTGCATATCATCGACTTTCCTCAATTGAGATGAATAATGTCTTCCAATTCAGTCTTCATTCTCTCGGTTGTAATAATATACTGCCGTGATCGATTGCTTTTCAGCACTTCTAATAATTTCTTTTGGTGAATCAATTCTGATGATACGTTATTCCCTTATCTATGAGATTTTTCACAAGTATCATCGGGATTTTCACAGGGGAGCAGAGCAGCTTTTGTTAGCTACACAGATGGAGTAGGCCAGGCAAGCAGCTAAAAAATTTCAAACTCCTACTAATTTTTCCTGTGATGGAGCTTTTCCTGTGACTTATTGTCTTATAAAGAAGTTTTTCATTTATAAAATAATTCTCCAAAGAGTATGTTACTCGCAGTGGCATTAGAGTCTGGACAGTCATGCTCATGCTTATGAACTTTATCAAGCTGAAATTTTTGATTGACCTATATGTGCAATCCAATGAGTTTAACTCAATGGTTTTAGTTGCTACAATATAATTAAGTTCATCAGGATTCGTGTTCGTGAATTTTTATGCGTGTTTGCAGATCCAGAAATTTACACTCCGGTTTTTGACCAACTTTGAAGCCGAACAGTTCATGAATGTTCTTAAGGTGCACTCATTAGTATCTATAATTTTGTTGCATATTAACTTATTTCCATTACGTCACATAAAATATATTACATTTTCTTAATATTTTATTTCATCTGTTACTCCGGAAATCTTGATTAGTGCAACATTTCAAGGGCTTCCATGCGAGTCAGACCTATCTTATCAAGCTGAGTACATTCAATTGGACCTGCATACATGTACGCAAAGTGATATACTGTTTATTGCTTTCTTTCTGTTCCTTGAAACCAACATAAATAAATGAAGACTCAAAATCTTGTGGCAAAGAGAGTGGAGATTTAACTCCTCCTCAAACAACCAGGATATAAGAGTAACTGTAATGTCGATAAAAGGAAAGAAACTATTAATAAGCGAATAATCAAAATGAATTTTAACAATAATATTCAATGGTTGTTGCAGGGCCCGAGAAGAACTGGAAGTATACAACTTCTGAAGACACCAATACACATCAGATGCCACCAATTGATTCAAATCCACTAGAAAGTTCACGAAATGTGGCAGATGAAGGGATAATTCCAGCATTTCCTTCCTGTTTCACATCATTATTGATGAACTTTTGCCTTGCAGACAGCGAAGGTAGCTACTATATCATTTGATGTTATTTTCTAATGTCGAATCTTCTAGTTACTCACTTGGTTACTCAAATTATCTACCTGCAGAAACACCAGCAGCGACTGAGGAATTTGATCTTAAAACCCAAATAATGGTTCTTAAAACTTGATTTCATGCTACAGATTTTTGTCCTCTAAACCTCCCCACCTCTCAAATATGAGATTTAAGATAATGAATATGCTCTGCTTCCGTTAATATTGCAATTTGATTTTCTTGCAGCAATATCTTGAAGGTTCTTCTTTCGAAGGTATGTTTTAACATAATAAACTGTTAATGATCGGTAGAACCTGTTTGTTGGTATATTTTTAAAACTTGGAGGAATCTTTGCTCAGGTAAATATATAGTTCCAACGTGTTAGAATTGCTGAATGCGAAAAAGATAATAATAAGAATCTGACATACTAATTGGATTTCTGAATATTAGCAGATATAGTGGCTACGGTAGAGAATGTCATCAAGGAATTAGGAGACGAATAATGCTCTAAACATCTAAGCATATGGAGACAGAGCTTAATCAATTGCGTGTACATGTTCATTGTCTTACTAACGTACCCATAAGTTCGCTTACAGGAGCGCGGGAAGGTCATATTCTTACTAGAAAAACACCCCGGTACCCGGTCTGACATCTCGAGGGGTTAAAACTCACGATTCTCCGTTTATAGATTGGCCATATTGAGAAAGTGAAAAATGAATCAATCCTTTCTGTTTGTTATATTACTGTTCAATGAAATTGGGAAAAGAAAAATGAAGAAGCTATTCTGCAATAAAAGCTTTTCTTCGTGTCAGAGGCTTGGTTTTTTATGTGACTGCTACACGGATTGCATTTTCCTTGACTTTTCCAGTGCATATTCTCTCTTTGGATGAAAGGATTCAAATTTGTGACGCATGGCTATAGGCTTACCCTTTGAATACAAGCACTCAAAACTCAAATTCGTTGATTAAAATTTTTCTGGTCAATAATATTAAACTAAACAAATATTGAAAGTTCTAGCACATAATATTTCATAAGCTACGGACTGAAAAGCACAAAAAATTTGTATCACTTCATCTAATTCTGCCTCACCACAATGCCTAAATATATAGGTAATAGGTGCAAAACTCTATGTAGACCTAGCAATACTCTGTGTGGGCATAAAAGCTCTTAATTTCCATTTGCAATCCCATGGAAAGCTGAAAACCTCTGCACAAAGAGATCAAACTCCTCATCCCGACTCAGCATACTTATTCTCACGTACTTTTGATCACTACCAAAGCGCTTTCCACTTCTCGTAAGAATCTTGTGCCCTCTAAATAGCTCCTCACAATCAACATCTTCTTTGCATTTCATCCATGCAAAGGCTGTTGAAAAATCACAAAACAAATGTCAAAATATTTTAAATCTAACATCATCTTGTTGGTTCAGCCACATGTCAATACTCATAAGCATATTCGAAACCACTAACAGTGGCAAGTCCCACCTCCTGTATTACAAGTATCAACAGGTGGCTGAACTCTAATTGTCCAGATTTTAATAAATAGGTTACATAATTAATTACCGGGATGTGCCTTAGTGAAGTCTCCAGTGAAATTGCAATACTGAAGGGGAAACTTGGGTAGAGTAAAGAGTCCATTGCGCTTGACAATTACCTTCAACTTCTTCCACCTTTCAGTCAAGTGGTGCTGGCCATATTCAAAAAAGTTATCCAATTCAGGGGTCCGAACTGTTTGACTGCAGCTATCAGTAATCACTTCCAGGATCTTGGCTGCTCTTTGTTGTGATTCTTTGGACACTCCAATTGTGTTAATCTCAATAAACTTCACCATTTTCCTTGCCACATCTACGTCCTTAACCAGTGCCCATCTGAAACAAGAGCCAAGAATCAACAAAAATAAATTAATAAAAAATTAATGCATTTGCATGTAACCACTGGGGTTGGTCACCTTTGGTTCAATCTGCCTCTTGCAAGAACGTGATTCAAAATACTCAAGAGCATGCTTGTCTAAACATGTTTGATAAAAGTGAATGCATTTGTATCTTACAGATAGGGGTGAGCTTCATTTGGTTTGATCTGCTTCTACAAGAACATGATCTAATAGGTCGGAGTACGTTGGTAAATCCCAAAAAATGTAAGTTACTTAAAAGGAAGTTTTTTGCCTAATTTGTTTGAGGTTCTTTAGAAACTTACCCTATTCTTGATCCCGCATGTCCAGTGCATTTAGAAATTGTGAACAGCATAATGTCATAATCTGCTGGACTAGTAATTGGAGTGTATTGTGGCCAGTAGTAAGCAAGGTCATGAACTAGCGTCCCCTGAGCTCTATTCACAACAGGTTCTCTAATAACCCCATCAGGGTTACTTGGAGAAGTTACCATTTCTATGTAGGGCCCATCTTTATCAAAATTGTGAGCATCACCTGCCCATTTGTAGAGTCCAGACCTTACAAAATCTGTCACTTCTGGATATGACTGCAAAAAAATTACAACTGAATTAGCATCGACCAGAACTTGCCGGCAATTTTATAGTCCGTAAGGTTTACGAATGTGCGTCAGTGATCACTGACTGTGGTAATTTAATAGCACTTTCATGTTATATTATTAGTCTTTGCACATGTCAATGTTGCCATGTTTGTCATGTCAGATCTTAAACATTCAACCAACAAAAGCCTCAGCAAGGGACAAGGCTTGTCTTGCCATAGTAGAAACTTCATTTTATGTCTGATTTAGTTGACTTTAATTAAATATTCAGAAATTTAAAAGTCAAACTAATCATAAAGCAATAACTTGAGTTTAATCACTATCAATTTATGCAAATTCTACCATATCTCTAAAAGTTTAAGGTTTTGGACAAGATAACACGTACGGAGTAGTAAGGAGTAGCCGATACAACATTGATAGGCTTTGGCTCATTTAGAGGATCAGAAAGGGCATATAATACAGCCTGAATGAGCTGACTCGATCCAGTTCCAACTACAATACGATAACCCTCTACTGTTGCATTGCCTACCACATTGTGCAATTTCTTTATCTCTTCCTCAAGTTTTGGCTCCAAAAACCAGCACAAGTTTTTCGGATTGGAGAAATAGCTTAGAGATTGATATCCTGTGAACGTAACTGTGCACGCGTTTCCCAGTTTTCTCCAGTAGGATTCAAACATTGTAGGATCACCGCTGTCGAAAAAATAAAATAAAATTGCATCAGTCTCATTGAATAAAACATTCTTATTAATAAAAGGTCGACCACATAAATCCTTTTCACCACTATGATCTGTTATGTGGAAGATCCAAATTAGAAGTTGATTATCTTGTATAGGATAATCTTAATGACTAGCATGAAGATCATGGTATAACCAATAAACAAAACAGTGCCATATTAACCACATTGGTGAAACACTAAAATATCATCAAGAAAGTGCTACAAACACACATTGGTGAAAGACTTACTGATCTAGATTGATAATGGCGTCGAGCGGCAGGTTCGGCCTGCAGTTATCCTCTGTGGCTTCAGGCACAACACCTGAAGAACTCTTCGAGCCTTTGGTTACAATGGCCTGATCTGAGCCGCACATCTTTTTCTCAATTCTTAGTCTTTTAGGGTTCTTGAAAGAACACCTCCAATAGTATATAACTGAACTCACACACTATATGTTCTCTGCTTGTGCTTCTTTATTTATAGGACAACGATGGTTAAATATAGAAATCTGTAATTATTTTAATTTGGGTTTCTTTCAATAAATGTGGTTATAACAGATTTTTATTTTTCCCCGATTATTAATTGACAAAATTCCCAAAAAGGGTAAGAGCATCAATTACACTCGTATAATTAAGAGGAATAAAATATCTGATAAAATAAGGATAAATTTTATGTAAGAGATAAATCTCATCTTTAAACGGAAGAAATTTTCAAATTGTCCGATCCAAATATAAATGCAAACAGATGGCATATCAATAACTTTTACTATATGAAACGGATTTTAAATTTTTTAAGAGTAATTTTTTTTTTTTTAAATGCATGCATATTCTTACAAGGCATGGAAAACATGCCCTATCAATTAGGCAATGTGATCGGTGATCCCAAGTCACCAAATTCTAGGCTTCAACGTGGGTTAAAGACTCTGAGAACGTTGTTCTTAAATTAGAGAAATTTTGTATCAACAGGAAGGATACAATCAAAATAATAGCATGTATATACACATAATTGCACTCAATGTGGATGACTCAATCAAAATGCTGGAATAATTGGACGGATCCCAATTCATAAAGAGGGGAATCCCAACAATAAAAACAACTTACAAACATTGACGAGCACTCTCTGAAAAATCCTAAATCTCGATTTTTTGTATATGGCCTCTGGGACCAAAATTTTTTACCTCATTTTAATGAAAATTCCAACCGTTACATGTAGTAGTAGCCGTAACTTTTGACTGCACTATCTCACGGTGGGACCCATGTGTTGAAAAAAAAAAGGTAAAAAAATTACTTCTTGTGTTCAAATAATGGGAAACAAATGGGGTGATAGAATAACTATTATCAAATTAGTCTACAAATTTTAGGATGATATTATTGTAGAACATTGATGGTGATAATCAATTCTCATTCAATATGACAATGTATTTTGAAAAAAAAATAAGTCAATGTTTCATTAAATATGGAATCGATTACATTTAATGAACGATTATAAATATCTTTACCGTAAAAAAAAAAATTCAAAAACCAAATAAATCAATGAGTAATAGTTTCAAAAAATGAAATTTATTATCATCATATTGTATTTAACATTTACGAAATAATGAGATAAGAGATGAAAATATAAACAATTTCTAATAGCTAACCTCTTCAAATGGATGATCAATTAAATACTCATGTGTTCTTGATGAAGGAATGGAGAAGATGAAGTTCTTGGAAGAAAATATGTGATAATGGATGAGGATTTAGGACTTAGGGTTTGTTTATGTTAGGGTTTGAATTTCTTTTATTTATTTTTTTGAAGAAAATACATTTTAATCAATATAATATACATATATACAATGAATAAAATAATCAAAATTTAATCATCAAATCAAACCATTAATGGCATTCCAATCAAACATTAATTGCTCTTACAAAGTTGACCTAAGGGTAATTTGGACCTTTCATATTAAAAAAATGACATTTTTGAACAAATTTAGTGCACATCCAAATTTTTTAGTGACATTTATGAAAATCACCCAAAAAAATTTATAGAGGAAATTGCACAAAATGTCAATTTTTGGCTTTACATTTGCAAAAATGTCACTTTTTTAAACTCTTTCCAAAATTGTCAATTTAGGACATTTTTGCCCCTCTGCATAATCGAAATACCTTGCAAGAAAGTGTTGTTGAGGTTTGCTAATGAAAAATTCCCCTATTAATATTTTAAATTCTTTTATCTTTTTTTTTAAAGAAAACTATTATTACTCAATATAATATAATATAAACAATTTTTATAATATTTAAAGTAAATCATCACATCACAGCATTAATTATATTCAAATCAAACATTAAATGCTCTTAAAAAGGTGGTATTAAGGATATTTTGGACATTTTGCACCAAAAAAGTGACATTTTTGCTCACAAAAAATGAAAGTGACAATTTTTTTTGAATTTTCAAATTTAGTGACATTTTTGAAAATTCCCCAAAAATATATATGGATCCAGTACTACATATGGATGCAGCATTGACCGGCCATAGAAGTGCATGTTATGTCTTTGACTCAAAGTCAAACAAAAAGTGGATCAAAAGAAGGAATTTAAAAAATAAAAAAAATAATAATACAGAGTTTGACATGACTGACTTTGTTTTGGAATCTTCTTATGCCGTTGCTTTTGGGTCGGCATGTTGCACAAGCCTTTGCCAATTTTTACTTGTATTCACACTTATACCACTCATTTGGTAGATCGAATTAGACAAAATTATTCATTATAAATAATAAAATTGAATAATTTTGTCTGTATTTATCAAACTTTGTAATTCAGTATATCAAAGAGGTTAATAATATTTACATTCGTAATGTATGCATTGAAATACAATATTGTGATCGGAGTATAACAAATTATACGTTTGTTTTTTATGCATTCTATATTTAATAATACATACCATTCTCCTAACAGTTCGACGACTTCTCACAATTATTATATTGATTAACTTCATTAAAATGTTTTAACTGACACAACTCATCACGAATAATTTTAGTGAACTCGAAACTTCATCTTTTAAATGTCAGATAGACGTCAAATCTTTAACAAAACTTCGACATTGTCTATTTCATATCATATTATGAACTAAACCGACCTAAAATATATATAAAAAAAGAAAATAAAAAATTATTTCTTCAAACACAATATCTAAAATAAATTGTGTACTACCTGTCACTTAAACGTTGACAAAGACATCACTAACATTTTCTAAATTATTATCATTGGGGTAGTTGTTTGTTCATATCATTTTCTAGGCATCATCAATCATTTTATGTTGATTAGATTAGATAGGCAGATCATAAAAAATTAAAAATATATTCTACAAATAATGATAGTTAAATTGGAAATTAAAAAATATTATTAGATGTTTATAAATTGTGTATTAAGTTGAAAATAAATAGTAAACGATGATTTGACTATCATGTGCAGAGGATAATTACACGTGTCCATGTGCTGTATCATAAGGTGCATGTGGGGTAATGGTTCATGCATTTTTAGTTTTTTACCCAATTCAAGAAAATGACTTGAAAGTCCGTATCTAGAAAAGCCAAGAATTTTTTTCATTGGGTTTTCCTTTACCAAGGACTAAATATCTTTTGTGTTTCTTAGCAAAATTTGATAGATAAATGTTTCGATACACCGTTGAAAATTGTCGCAAATGTTTTGCTTATTTCAATCATCATTTGCTTGCGTCACCACCACCACCTTTTCATCTCAAATCTTAATCAAATGAGACGTAATTAGGTGAGGCTTCTAAAATGTGTAGTGGATTAACTCATCAAGTTCCTATTGAAGAGGGATTTACGTAAGAAGAAGAAAAAACGCTTGAACTTTTTGAAAATACCCCCGGTCGAAAAATGACTTTCAACTTGAAAGCTCACTTGCAATTTGGGTTTAAGGCCCAAATTGCTAGAAGCCCATCCATCCACCCCACTTTTGTTCAGATTAGGGTTGGACGTTGTTCGGTTCGGTTCAGTTCTCGGTTTGGTTTTGAAGAGAACCAAACCAAAATTTTCGAGTATTTAATAAATGGAATCATCGGGTTCAAATATAATTATGGAACCGTTCGAGTTCGATTCTATTCGGTTCCGTATCATAATTAATTTTTTTTAACATTTATAGTAACACTACATAAATAGAACTAATGTCATATTCATTCGTAGCTTCGATGGGCAGTTGGAGAGGAAAAGTCGGACTCGACAGTCGGCGACTTCGATTTAGACATGTAGATGTAGGTTTTCAATTTATCAAATGATTTGGGGTTGGTGAACTTGTGCTTACCGAATGAAAGTACAAAATTGGAAAAGGGGGATAAAAACTTAAAAGTATCTAGATCTTTGGGCTAACAATGAAATTAATAATTGAGCCAAAAAATTAAACAAAAAATTGAATTTAGAAGTTGGGTTGGGCTGGGCTGGGTTATCTAGGCCTAACTTGGCTTGGGAGCTGGAGCATTAATCACTAAATTAGTTAATTTGCTAATTTGTTTAGAAAAAATTAAAATACTTTAATTAATTCAATATAAAAAATTTTAAGAAATATTTAGATTCGGTTCTTCGATTTTTGGTTTAGAACCAAGAACTGAACCAAACCCATCGCTTCTCAATTCAAATACCCGTTCGGGTATTTAACTTCTAAAGAATCGCTCGGTTCAGTTCGGTTCGAAAGTTTTGTCCAGCCCTAGTTCAGATCCCAGAAAATGTTGGTCTGTAGACATGTAGTCCTTTGTGCTTTAATTAAGGTCGGTGGACTGGAATTAGCGTGTTCTCTTATATGGGCTAGATCGATTTCCTGTTACAATGCTTAATTTAGATAAAAATTAAGTTTTTAATAGATTTTGATAAAAGTTGGTATAATATGTTGTTGTAAAAATGAGAATCTCATAATACATGTGTTTAAATTAATTATTGACTTTAACTTAAATTTTAGCGAAAATTATAGTCTACCAAAGTTTTAAACTTCACATTTCAAAATTAGGATTTACAAATTTCTTTTTAAAAAATCAGATGATAATTAAAATTTTAAATATTAATACTTACATTTCAAAATTAAATATACATATTCATCATACCCAACCTATGCCTAACCACCCACATGAAAACGCTTATCATTTGGATTCCCCTGATTCGACTGAGATCGAGATCTCTTCTTTCTGCGAATGTGCCTGATGAATGTCGAACATCTCGCTCAGATGAATCCTCTGCCAATATCTTGGTCTTTTGGAGAGAAGATATCCTTGACCTGTTCGACCTTTTTTCGACAGATTGGCCGGCCTATCTTCTTTCTATAAGCAAGCTCCCTCCGGCCGTCCAGTCCCTGGACGGCTCTTGATCCAGAGCGAAATGATGGAAATAAAGAGTAGGACTAGGGATATCCAGAAACCAAGTTCTGGTCCTGCTCTCAAGTATAGGCTTCCTTTTGGTATCGATGTGGGAAGCTTAAGGGGTTCCCTAAACGCATCATCTCTATTTTCTCTCCTCTCTCTATCCCACATGCTCTCATTGAACAATACCGACGAGAAGACGAATTGCTATGACGCCACGACACTGTACGCCGACTCTACGAGCTACAGTCGCTGCTGCAACAGTGACATGCGTACGACTATTGTATTCGAACTTGCAATAGCTTTGTCGATGTTGTGCTTGAGATAGTGCACCGCCTATGGCTAGATGGGGCCGATGCCGCAAAAAAATTTTGGGGAGAGGGGTTTGGGGTTTTTTTACGATAATTTCTTCCTCATTTGATCTGATGTGCTTCACCGGAGTTCTGTGGTTGTTTTTGTGGTTGGTTAGTTGGTGGTTTAATTGTTTTAAGTTTGCAAATGGTGGTTGTTAATGGTGGTGGTGGTGATGATTGGGAGTAGTTGGTGGTGGCGGTTCGATGCCAGTGGTGATGTTCGTTGTTGTGGTGTTGGCGGCGATGGTGAGGTGACTCGACATTCAATCGAGGTTGGTGGTAGGGTTGGGATTGGGGTTGGAGTTGGAATGAGCTTAAAAGTGCGTGTGACCAACAATTCGAGTGTTTCTAACCAATGATTTGGGTGTTTTGTGACCAACTATTTTGGTAGGGTGGGATGAAGAGTTTGTGATCAGCTATTTGAACATTTGTCCTCAGTTATTTGATTAATTTGTAATCAATAAATAATATGTAACCGATAAATAATATGAGATCGATAACTTATGACTAATAAATAATATGTGAACTGAAAATTTGAGTCGTGAATCGTGACTTATAGAATTTGTGATCGATAAATAAATTGTGAACTATAAATTTATTTGATTTGTGACCTATAAAATTTTTGAATTGAGTGTGAAATTATTTGTGACGTATAATTTTTTTAATTCGTGATCGAGAAATAATTTATGACCAATTAATTCAATAATTTGTGACTCGATAGTATAAAATTATGACTTTAATATATTTAATTAATTATTTCATAAATACAAATTTAATTAATATCTAATTTTTGAAATTTTAAACATTTTTTATTAATTTTGAAATGAGACATACTTAATTTCTTAGATATGAAAATTTTCCTAAATTTTAATCAGAATTTTTAGTTAAACCAAACAGAGATAATATATATCAGCCCAAACCCGGAATCTAATCCCAAGAAACCATGTCAAAAGCTATGTAACTTTAATGCGTGTAATTTCACTACTATCGAGTTTCTTATTTAACCCCTGTTTTGTGCACATTTTGGGTAGAAGAATGTATTTTGTTGATGTGATGGATGGGGAATATATAGTTGAAAAAAAAGAAAAAGTTATCGATGTGATGAAAAATATTATTTTATTGAAGAATGTGTGATTGAATATGAGTAAAAAAAAATGAAAATATTAATGTGGGCCAAATAAGGGCTTATGCTTATTTTTGAATTTTCGTATTAAATCCCCATTTGGTGCACATTTTGAAGGTAAGAATGCATTTTTACTGTTGATGTAATGGGGAATATGTGGTTGAAAAAGAAGGAAAAGTTATTGATGTGATGGAAAATATTATTTTATTGAATAATGTGTGGTTAAAAATGAGTAGAAGAATGAGAATAAAAAAAATAATGTGGACCAAACAAAGCCTTTGAAAAATTAGAATGAAAAAAATAATGTAGACCAATTTTCTTCTATTCGAGTCATCTCTCTTCCTTTTTGCATATATATATATATATATATATCAAATTATCTAGGCATTTTCATCAAACTCGGCCAAGTTAACGAGAATTACTATTACATTTCTATTTTCTGCAAGAAGTTTGAAATATATAAGCAAACTAGGCAAAGTTGATGAGATTTTTTATTCCAGTCACACATTCTCTCTTCTTTTTGCATTAATTTCTAACTAACAATTCTCATCAGTTTTGTCCATTAAATTAACACTTTGTCTCTCTCAGTTTAAAACACTGTGAATTTTGTTATCTATATAGAGGATCTGTGCACATAGCCTTACAGATGCAAGCGTTGCATCTATCATGCTCCTGTACAGATTCCCAGTAAAGGTAGCATTTCTCAATGATTTTTAGGTATGTATTTTTTTTAACAGAATTAATTTTGGGCAATAGGCAATCACAGGGAGAATCTCCCTGTATTCGTAGCAAAGTTCTTTCTCAACACTATACCTTGTCCATTCTAGTCATCTTGGTAAAACGACACTACACTCACTATGTATTACTAAATAGCCATAATTAATAAAATATTTGAGGTTTTGGCACAAATTTTGACTAGAAAATTTTCTAAATTTATTTGGCAAGACCAAAACTAAGTGACCTAAATGAAAAATCTTTCTCGATGAAGTCAATTGGTTACAATAAAATTGACCGCCGAGATCTTAGACTTAGCTCTCAAAGGTAACCCACCCTGCCCTTTCCCAACTTACACAAGGAGAGCAAAAGATAAATGTCCTAACTAAATCATAAGAGAAACTACAGTATCTTAGGAAATAGTACATGCTCCTTTTGATGCATTTGGTCAAGAAAGAATTGATGCAAAAAAAGAATCAATGTGATGCATGATGAAAACTTGAATAATAATAACTAATAAGTGTCTTGTTCATAACATACGAATGGATGTTTGCTCGAATTTCGCTCGAACGGACGTTATAACTATTTGTAATCCATCAAATAAATATTAGAATCAACCAATTAACGGGAAAACTAAAATATATTATTAATCAAGAAAAATATGTTTAATTTATAAACTCCTAAACACATTTAAGGACTCAAAACAAATCATAATCAAAACGAGATTCTAATTTTATAGATAAATTCGACTAAATTAAGCCCCTGTTTGTTAAATCCAAATTTTATTTTAAGTCAATATCAACAATGAATTTTAATCACATATTTCATGAAATCTACAACTTTTCAACCACGCATTTTATCATTTTTTATCAAAATCTACTAAAAATCTACTTTTAATCCCTACTGAGCAGGGGCTAGGAAACTACAAAAGCAAAGAGAGCTGCTACATGTATAGGTTTTCTATGCCAAAATTTATACATGTGGGCAAGTGCCACCTTTTCATTGGTAGTAGGAAAAAACAACAATGCTATGTGTACAATGATTATAATCATTGTACACATAGCATTGTTCAGGAAAAAATGAAAGGAAAATCCATCAATCAGGTGTTCACCTGTAATCTGCATGTACAGAAATTTCTTGTACAATCAATTATTCCCAAAAAACAAATCTTGATTTTTTTATTTTCCAATTATGCCCTTATTTGATCCTCATTTTTATTTCAAAAAATATATATTTTTTCAACTTTTCAACGACACATTTTTCAATAAAATAATATTACATGTAAATCCAAAAACTTCTCCTTCATTTTTAACCACACATTGTTCATCAATCTATTATTCCAAAATGCATTCCACACCAAAAATGGGGTTAAGCAGGCCCTATTTATGATTTTCTCTTCTAAATGTCTGGACATTACAATATAGAACTGGAAGTGAGGTGCACAGCAAATGCATTTGTTTATAAACTCAAAAGATGTAAAAGGGGAAAAAAATGGACAGACATTCTTATTTACACCCATATATAAGAGGCCAAAGAAAAATGGAAAAACGATCTGCCAAAAAAAAAAAGCGCAATTGCAAACAAGTAATTGAAAGTAACATACATGAGCTAATGGTGTACTTGATGATTAGGTAGCGTTGGATTCTTTCTGAATACGTGCTTCCTGCATCGCTCAAAAATACTGTCGTATATCAGATCAAATTGAGTTCCAGCCCTTTCCCGGTTCACAATGAAAAGAATGTGATCGCCTTCCACAATCTTGTAATACCTACATTAAAAAAGATCACTTACATTAAGAAATACAATAGTTAGACCAGTATCACTTATCATTCTTATTTAGAAAGGTTCCACTTTTGCTTCTAGTTGAACAGAACTCAACTGCGTATTACTATTTTCTATCTCATTTGAGCTTTGTAGAAAAAAAACATGCAAATAAGATGCGCATACAGAATCTAGTTTGTGTTGAACTAGAATCCTGAAATCTGGATGTTCCCAATAGATTATCTTGCTAGATATCATAATTAAGTGCATAACAAAAAATAATTTTCACATAGCACTTGAGGGGTGGAGGTAACGAACCAGATGCCTGGTTGCAAAGGTAGGCAGTCAGAATCTTGTACAACAAAATGACTAGGATGTTCAACTGGGAAACAAGGGCGTGTCATGGATATGGTATTGAGTGCTCCATCGTTGTCCCACCAATCTTCATCGCTGTAAATCCATCAATGACTCAAAAAGTGCAAATTTAAGTAAATGAAAGTTTGATTTCAAGTATCTTAGAATCAAGTGTGTGTCCATCAAGCTAAAATTTGTTATGAAAAATAGTGTTACTCACCGATAACCTTTATAAGGTGGCACAACATCAGGAGGGTGTCGCCATTGGCTCATTTGCAAAACTCGGATGAAAAGCAACGGGTGGATCCCAAGAATGCCAGAGGGAACTGTCATACCCATGATTTTCCTTGTGCGTTTGGTGGCGTAGCTGAAGTAGTACGTATCGGGAAATGTACATATATTGCTGTTCAATCTGATCGACCCCTGAATTGTAAGATCGGGAAGTATCCAGTCGCCTGATGCAAATGGACCACTATTTCCCAATAGGTAATCTATAAGACCCCAAATGCCAATCTTCTTCCAGGACATGTTGAAGTGATCAAATCCAAAATTGTAGAAGCTCTTTAGCCATGGAATGTCAAACCAATCATATATTATTACTCCTACACGGCACACCTGCAGTAGGCAGATGGGCTTTAAAGACCTCCCATCTTCCGGCCTGCACATAATTCAATAAAATATCAGCTATGCAGTAATAGACCCGTAATAGACAAAATAATGGACAAGATTTGAACTTTTTTTATTTCTTAATACTGTCCTCGACTCTCTAGTCCAACTCACCACCATAATAGTCAATCAGAGGCAAACTGCGAACGGATTTTAGTTAGTAATTGCAAAATCAGATGCATTGATGTTATTAAGTCACATACTAATTTGCAATTAAGCAATAATAAAATATTCAACTTCTAAAATAAATTGTCCATAGTCACACCAATACCAGCAAGATTTTTCACGTATTGTTTAAACTAAACAGCTCCATATCTCCATTCACTATAGATAACATATGGCTATTCAATGGGGGAAAAAATATGGTAATAGAAACAGTTGAATATTCATAAAACTTACTGCATTCCATCTAAATAGGTTCTAGTTGTCCCATTAAATGCTCCCGATAACGATGTTATGCTTAGTACCCAGTTCTCTGAAGTATTTCCATACCCCTCAAATGCCTGAAATTAAATCGAAAAAATATCAAAGTTGTTCTATATCTCATCGTAAGCAATTCATTTACACAAAAACTCAACCTTATCGGCGAGCATTTGCTGCAAAACCCGAACAACCTGTGCTCCAGATGAATGTCCCACAAAGTGAATGGGGTGATCCTCATCCCATTCGTGGTAATGCCCTGCATTTTTCGCGACTGCACTAGTCAAAAACACAACTCATACGGCATATTTGGTAACGAAGATCAGATAACAATAGGCAGTACGAAGAAAAGCTAAAATCTAGCTAAATATACCGTCCAGCCCAATCCAGTACTACATACCAAACGTGCACACATAATTCTCATATCCAAACAGCTTAAAATGAAACCGAGTTCAGAACATTGCAGAGAAATGCCAGTTAAATTCCTACCCTTTTCGTAAATCCTCCCATATTGAGAGTGCCCACAAGACTTGCTATGTTCTTCTCCATAATCAACTTGCCCTCCTTTCAGATAATAGAACAATTCTCTAGCCCTGAAATCTTAACCCCTATCAAGTATTGCAAAAGACCATACAGAATAAAACCAAAAACATCTATACCAAACAGAGGCATTTGAATAATTGAATTTGGAAAACACCCACCTGTCATATATGCTTGTCAATGAGCCTAAATCAGGCACTAGAACCCTGTCATCCTTCTTCTCTGCCCCTGCAAAATACGACAAACCCCCCAATCTCTACAGAGGAAAAAAAAAAGAACAGAAAAAAAGAGGAAAATACCCATTCTTGAAAATTTGCCGAATTTTGATAAATGCCAATGAAATCATATACACACAAACAGTTATGTATGTACATACCCCTTTGCCAAAACCAAAGATTCCATGGACCAACACAATGGGAGGCAGATCATCAACACTTGTTGTCTTTTTTGAACAATCCCCTTTCAATTCATTCTCCAAGTTAGGCTTAAAAGACCAATCACTCAAAGCCTGTGAGAGATCACCAGCCACAGCTGTGCTGAATATGTAAAACCCATATGTCAAATGCACCAAAGTAGTCACAAATAACTCTGTCAATTGTAGAGCTAAAATCCACCATCTAACCATCTTGTTTTTTTCTTTAAAACCCACGAATTTTATGTATGAAACTGTACGGATACAACCGATTTTTTTCCTCAGAAAAGAACCTTCTTCAAGAAAAACTACAGAAGGCTCTTGATCATGAAAAAAAATCCAATATTTATGAATATAATCAAGAAAGCCCTCATGAAGCCTACAGGGGGCCCAAAATGTAAATAAAAATCAAAATTTTCAGACCCTTTTGTTATATGAAAATGGGTTCTTCATTTTCCCAGTTCTTCCTCCCTCGATTTTCTCATTGCCTACCTTTCAAAACGTCATTACAATCCAACGAGGCAACGACCAAGCAATGAAATTTTCTAGAGGACCTCTCTAGAAGAGGGATGGTGAAGATTGGTGCTACGTGTAGTGGGACCCACTACTAATTACAAATGGCTTAAACTAGTCCAAGGGACAGTTTATAGACAATCCAGTAGTGATGAGATTTTGGCGAAGAATCAAAATATTTTGGCCTTGTTTTAGGGATAATGATGTGATTAGCCGTGGTGAAATCTTTGTTCATAATCCAAATTTGGCTTAGGGAATTGGGACAATTGCACCATTGGTCCTCATCACAGTGTCCGCACATTAGTGTTTAACCTTTAAATATGAACAAATTCATCTCCCCTCCCGTTAGAATTGCATATTCTATTGTAATAATAAAATCAATTCAAATTTTCGTTAACTTGTCACATGATTCCGATAGTGTTCAAATCTTTTAAAATTAGCAAGTTGGTATCCAATTATTTTCTATAATTGCACAATGAGTCCTTCCTAACAAAAATTATTCGAAGTGAAAATATGTTGATTTCAGAGTTGTAAACACTTATTCAAGTTGTAAAGCAACACGTAATTTCATAAAATTAGATATACAAACATCATTTCATAGAATCTACTACTTATAATCTACAAAAAGATTTACCAAACATAGATTTAACATAAACTTGGGAAGCTTCGGTCATTGGTGACTAAATCGAATAACTACAATGTAAGATTGATTACTAACTTGTTTGTATTTTAAAATTTGAAAATCAATTTCCTACTGGTTTAATAAAATTGTGGACTAGTGATGCAATTTGGGTTTCCAAGAAAAATTTGCTGGATCACTGCTGTAGGTCTGCGTGTCAAGCCAACAAAAATTGCGTGGGTCCCACTCTTATCAGAATGATAGGGTCTTTTTGAGTTCCATTTTTCAATGTAGAGTGTATTTTAAAGGAATATGCTACTTGCCGTCGCTCACTGCTGCAGTCGTTCTATGTGGCAAACACATGTCAAGTGTGTATTTGATGCATTAAATGTGGTAAAAAACTACCACATTAATGCATCAAATATGTGTGTGCCACATAGGGAATGCATCAAATATGTGTAGCATTACTCATTTTGAAATAGTAATTAATAGAGAATGTTTGGTTAAAAAATGAAAGAAATTTTTTTGGATTGCATGTAATATTTTTGAAAAATATATGATTGAAAATGAGAAAAAAAAATATGACCTGATTTTGTGACTTCACGCTCTTCACGAGTTATTATTAACAAGATGAAGTCTTTGTCGAGGTATACTAATAATTCCTACTCATATATATTTGATAACAGGTGGAAACTGATGTTTAAAGTGACATATAACTTATAAAAATTAGGAAAAGTCTACATGTATATAATATATGTACATAATAGTGTCAATAATGTGATGTGGACAAAATCATATTGTTGATGTGAAAGTGTGAGATTTGAATTAATGGTTGGATCTAGTGTCACGTGTAATTATGGACACCATTATTTATAGATTTATGTACATGTAATACTTCTCTAAAAACTAAACCTTAATAAGGAGAACAAAACAAGGCGATTTTTGCTTTGTTGGTGTTGTAGTTTTTTTCTATATGGTTGAGTGTGGTTTTTGTCACTTTATTCTATGAATTGGTAATGAGATGGCTTACAATTTAGTTTTTAGGGCACTTGACATTTGACGAGGTGTATTGTGTTAATGATACATAGCATGATCAATAGGGGTTGACATAACGGCCATGTGGCCGACCCCTATTGGAACGAGGCACCCCTCCAATAGGGGCCGGCCAAGTGGCCATTATGTCAAAGTTTACACATAGCATTATCCTAGTGTTAATTCTTGTTCTTCATTGTTTTTTATTTTTTTTGTCTTTAAGGGACGATTTATCTTAATATAAGCTAAAAACAACTAATGATGTCCTAGAAAGTGAGGAACAAAAATGAGGAATCATTTCGTGAATAATAATTAGTTGGTGATACAATAATTAATATAAAATGTTACACTAAATCATTGATTTTTTTTTCTAGCATGTTCACATTTTTTTTATTTTTTTGTGTTCTAAAAACAAATCAAAATTTTACTAAACTTTTTTGAACCGGTATAATTAATAATTTTACCATAAAATTATAGTAATTTTACTAAACTTTTTTGAACCGGTATAATTAATATAAAATATTTCTTTCTTTTGCAATGTATTCAAATTATTGACAGCACTTCTCAAAGAATATTTCGGTTTGCGCGTGCGTGGCTGGTACTCAATTCACTGGCGTTCAAATTATTTGACTATAATTTTTAAAAAATAAAAAATGAAGAAAATTTTTATTTTTTGCTTTTCACTTTCATAAGAGCGCACAGTTTTGTACATTACGTTGAACGTGACAACGATAATTCTATTTCTTTTAGCGCTATAAATTTGTTTGGATGATTAGTGAAATAGATTTGACATGTCAAATTTTGCTATTCAAAATAGGTCTTTTTATTAATTGAATCCACCACGTAAAGCAATGTTAAAATGAAAAAAATTTCTAAATGTGACATTTCTTCCTATGAATCATAGGAATTATTGTTATCCAGTCTAAATTTATAGAGAATACAACAATTATGCTGGGA